CCTTTTCTCCCTTTTTATTGAAAGGGTCAGGTAGAGGAGTCAGGAAGGTATAGGGCACGTGGTGCTAGGAAAGGGAAGAGAGGGAGTCAGAGCTCAAGCAGCAACAAGACTTATGGATTCACTCCTACAGTGCTTAGTCAGGACTCTTAGAAATGACAAGTGCTTGTCATAGTATAACAGTTGTGCTTGTTCTTGAATAAACTTCAATGGATACTGTCATTGTATATGTCTAGTTGTTTATGTTTTTTTCAGAAAGCTGCTATGGGTGCATAATAGTCTCAGGAATGAAAAGTTCTGCAGTTGGATTGCTTTGATCCCATCAGATAGGTTCTGTGGAAGACAGAATAGCAGAAGGTCTATAGGTTTTCTTATAAAAATGAATTTATATATTAAATGAAAGAATTATTATCTCGGAGAGTTGTTTAGCCGTGTAAACAATTGACAGCCTGATTCCTTATTCAGTAAGGGACAAAACTTCTCAAACAGATAAGACAGAGTGACTTCAGGATACCAAACCACTAAATCATAGAATAATTTCGGTTGGAAGAAATCTCCAGCAAGGGTCCGGTGCCCTTTCCTCAAAGCAGGGACAAATTTCAAAGTAGAGTGACCTGACCAGGGTTATATCTAGTCAAGTTTTCAATATCTGTAAGGTTGGAGATTTCATTTCCACCTTTTTTGGCACCTGTTCCAGTGTTTGAACACCTTGTGAAACTTTTGTTTTCTAATACCTAATTGAAATTTCCCTAGTTACAACTTGTGTCTGTTGGTATCAAACAAGCAGGTGAGACAAGTTTATCTAAAATAAGTTCAGGTGGAAAACTGGATATAAGGAGTAGTTTAAAGTCATGACAAATATCAGAATTAGTAAATATAAACACAGTGCTTTAAAAATAGATGTAGGACCAAACTTTGATCTCCAGTCACTAGCGGTTTTGTACTTGAAGTAGAAGAGGTCAGACTCATCATAGGATTTACACTTGGGACTTTTTACTGCCCCCTGGATGTCAAGGTCAGAAACAACATACATGTTGCAGCCCCATATTTAAAATAGCCCAAGTATTAATGGAGTATTGGAGCATATATATAGGGACATACTTTCTTGTGGCATCATAAAAAAGGTGTCATGAAGAGGAGGACAAAACATGAACATGTAGACACAATCCCTTTTTTTCTGTGTCGTATAGCTTTCCACACACAGCGAGCAGAAGTGTATGAATTGTCACATTTTTCATAAGGGAACAGGATTCAGGGGGGCAGCAGTTAATCCATTCCCTTCTTTAATTCCTTATTCTGCTTGCTTCCAGTAAATAGCCACCTGGGGGGCATGCAAAAGACAAGCTAGAAAATTTTTGACATAGAGTAGAATTTGCTCGAAGGAGTAGCTGGACATATTTCTTAAGAAACTTTTCATTTTCTAAAGATATAGGGATAATTTGAAGTCAAATTTCTTTAAAATGCTCAGTTTCCTTGTATTTTTGATAAGACTCGAATCAGAGAACTTTCTAGTGGATGCAATGTAGATAAGGTGTCAGTTCTCAGCAGACAAAAAAAGAAGGCAGGAAAGTTGATATTGTGTAGGAAAATAATAAAACTCCACAAGAAATCAGGAAAGCAAGAAAGACAGAGGAGGCATTTGAAACCACCACTGAGCTGAGAAGGTAAAAAATGTATGAATAATATTAATAGGAACTAGTGATTAAATTTTAATTTTCAAAGGAAAAGATGTATAAATAACGAATAGTTGTTAGCTGTATTCACACTAGGACACATAAAGAGAAATCCAGCATCTAAAGTTAGCCAAAGGAAAAACAATCAGTGTTCCAAAGCCAGGCTGGATAAGGCCACCTTGTTTAGTGGAATGTGTCCCTGCCCATGGCAAAGAGGGTTGGGACTAGATGATCTTTAAGGTCCATTCCAACCCCTTGACATTCTAAGTTTTCTTACTGATGGATATGTTTTGTAGAGACTCTGTGAAGCGAGAAAGATGATTAAAGTAGGTCTTTCTTGTACAGTACATTAAAGAAAAAGAGTTTGAAAATAATTTGTAGGATAGCTCATGAGAAAACCTACAATAGGAGGATCATTGTGTTCTGGAAGTGGGGCTAATGATCCCAGTTTAGCAACTGGGACATTGCTAGTCCCAGGGACTTGTTATTCCTTGTATTAATGCTAAATTTTGTCATTTAAAGGGGATAGAATCGGGAAAACATGTTCAGTTTGAAAACTGATTCAGGGAGAAGTGATCCATATCTGAATAGATTTTGTTGGAAAGTGGGCTGATTTTTGTGAAAACCTGGAAATATTCATTAGACAAACACTAAAATACAAATATTTTTCTAGTTGGGAGTTTTCAAAGAAAGGTCACAATTTTCCATGAGAAGCAGACACATTTTCTGGAAGGCTTTTTTGTTAATACAGAATCTAGTTTTATGTCATAGGACAGCATTTGCCAGCCTTAGCTTATTAGTAATCCTAATTCACCTCAGGTACAGAAGATAAATGATACTCAAGATGTAAAAGTTCAAAACCATCACTTGTTTGTTTGGCTTCTTAATTTTTCGGAAGTCCTTTGCCTTCCTGTAGGCTGGCATTTCACTTTTTTGGTCCATTTTGTGGTTTCTTCATCCTTTGAAAAGTTAGCATCTTGTGACATTTGTATATACCTAAAAGTCATCTAGAAGATGATATTTGAAATGAAATAAAAAGAGTACTAGAAATTAATAAGGAAGCACAGAGTGTAATGAAGGATAAAGGATAAGTTATAAGTTCTGTAGAAGATGTTCTTTTTGTGTCTTAGAAGATGTTTAGCCTGTACACTTTGAAAACTGAGAATGGTCTTGTGTTTGCCTTGACTAATGGATCACATCACAATATACTCACAGTTCAAATAATAAAAACAACAGTTAAGGCAGAGATGAAAACTTTTGGAACACTAAAGAAGTAAGTGGGAAGAGGCAGGGAAAAAGATACTGAAAAAATTGAATGGGGTTTGGGTGATGTCTGTAACAAATTTTTTGAGAAATATGTGGGTTTTTTTCACTATGTTGTCAAACCTTTTCATCACTGCATTCCCTGAAGTTTATATTTTTGTTTTAAAATCCAGTGGCAAGTTTTACAAACTGGGTTGCTTATTGAAGTTATATTGTGCAGAAAGTTAAGAGAGAGAATGGAAAATCCTTAAAGCACAGTAAAAACAAGAGGCCTGTGAAAGAGACTTTACAGTACCTGATGGCTGTCAGGTAAAATGTATTGATAGAAAGAGCATGTAGCTTAGATGAGTTGCTTCCTGTCTTGGACTGAAAAAAAAAAAAGAAAAGACAAAGATCTGAATGCTAGGAGTGATTAAAAACTTCCCAAGGAAAAGGAATCAAACATTTACTAAAGCAAATATCCAAGCAATAAGTTTATTGAAATAGGCCACTTTTTCATATTCAGTGTGCCTGATATTTATTGATAATGCAAGAGGCAGCTGGACACAAGTGCTGACTCCATGGTTTCACTGTGACAGGTCCTTGTTACTCTAGCACTGAAGGAAAGAGTTTAAAAGCCTGCAAAATGCAGTGCTGCCTCCATTTCTGTGAGCAAGCATCTGCCTGAATCTGGAAGAAGTTTTTATCTTTTGGCAGATAGAGCTGTTTTTGTAAATGGTGGTGATTATTGATCCCCAGAGTACATAGTCCTGGTTAATGTCTTGTTTATAATGCATGGACTATTTCCTGAAGTTATGAAAATGCATGATTGCAAAATATGACAATACCTTTGTTTAAGGGAGGCTGAAGGATCTGGTGGCAAAACTGGGCAGAGCAGGAGTGCAGCAGTGCAAGTGTGCCACGGACCTTAGCTGAGGTGTGAAACAACTGTCACAGCCACAAAACACTTCAAACCAGTGCATCTGGCAAATGCCCTTGAGAGACACATTAGCCTTCACCCTAGCAGCCACATATCAAAGGAGACATTTGTTGCAAGCTAAAGAGCACTCATATTCCTAATCGTGTGTCCGGCAGCTGGGTAGACAAAGAGAAATGAGCTGTTCTACAAACAGAAAAATTAATAAAGCCTGATCTTTTGCAAATTTGACCTAGGACATAACTCTTTGCAATAACGCCAGCCCTCTTTCATACCCACTCCACTCCCCCAAACTCTTTTATTTCCCCAGAGTGTCACCCTGGGTTGCCCTCATCTCTGGTTGAGCAACAGGCATGGTGCTGCCTGTTCAGAGCAGAGACTGGGGGTGTGCTGACTGGCCATTGCCCTCCAGGATAAATAGTAGTTATTATAAATATCTCTCCTCTACACAATTGCCAGTGTTTATTTCCTTTTAGAAGTGTAATTATCTTCAGCACTATGGCCCCTCTGCTGATTTGTTTGAAATTGGACAGTGGGTTTACAAGTTATCAAGAAAGACCAAAAGCTCCAGGGGTCAGTCTCATTTCCTTAGGAAACCAGAGTTTAAACAAACGGCCACAGATCAGTGATTAGATTGCAGCTTCTGCTGAGAACTTCATGGACTGAGTCAGAGTCTAAAACAAATTCATGCTGCATGATACTAAGTTTTATCAGCATGACTGTCATATAGGCCCCATATGACACAGGAAAAAGCTACCTTAGAGGTACTTTTAGCAAAGCTAAGCTTGTAAGTAGAACTTGCATATTTCACCTGCTACAGTTTTCCTGCCTGCCCCCTCTCTCGTTCCCTTTCCTCCTTCCTCTCCCCTTCCCCTCCTCCTCCCTCTCTCTTTCCTGCCTTTGCCTTCCACAAAAATTGCACTTTGGCTTTTTCAGATGGATATCTGGCTCAGAGTAAAGGACATGCAGTGCACAATTCCCAGCAGAAGCTGAAAATGGATGACGCCTACTGATGTTTTTCATGATGTCATCTCCTCTTTTCCTGTTCGAGATGGGTTGTATGATCATCAAGAAAAAGTTCTAAAATAAGCCTGAGCGACCTCTTCATCCCTTGGCTTCTCTTTCTGGAAGTCTAACAACCATCTGAAGAAATGACCACTCAACTACCAGAGGAGTCTGTGGAGACCCAGAGCTCAGATGAGCTTGAGTGCAAGATCTGTTACAACCGCTATAACCTGCGACAGAGAAAACCAAAAATGCTGGAGTGTTGTCACAGAGTATGTGCCAAATGCCTTTGCAAGATTATAGACTTTGGTGATTCCCCACAAGGAGTCATAGTGTGCCCATTTTGCAGGTTTGAAACATGCCTGCCAGATGATGAGGTTAGTAGTCTTCCTGATGACAACAACATCCTTCTGAATTTAGCTTGTGGGGGAAAGGGAAAGAAGTGCCTACCAGACAATCCAACAGAACTGTTGCTGACTCCCAAAAGGTTGGCATCCCTGGTTAGCCCCTCTCACACCTCTTCCAATTGCCTGGTTATAACAATCATGGAAGTACAAAGAGAAAGTCCCCAGACTCTAAATTCAACCCCTGTGGTGGAATTTTACAGGCCTACAAGTTTTGACTCTGTTGCAACTGTGTCCCATAACTGGACAGTGTGGAACTGCACATCTTTGCTCTTCCAGACCTCGATTCGGGTGCTAGTGTGGTTGCTAGGGTTGCTGTACTTTAGTTCCTTGCCTTTAGGGATTTATTTACTGGTATCAAAGAAAGTCACCCTTGGGGTTGTCTTTGTAAGCCTTGTTCCTTCAAGCCTTGTTATTCTCATGATTTACGGCTTTTGCCAGTGTGTTTGCCATGAAGTTCTAGACTGCATGTCATCTTGATAACAAATACAGTAAAATAAGATGTATTGCCAGATGTGTAGCATAGTTGATTTATCCTGTCTTTGTATTCTTATTTATTCTTACTGTTGTCCATCCCACTAAATGGAAACAGTGGTCCTAGTTATATGGTCCTTTTTTTTTTTTACTGGATTTGATCCCCCCCACCCTGAGCTTTTTTTGAACTAAAAATTGGAAATTAAATTTACATGTTGATTTTAAAAGGTCAGGTTTTAGGAAGGGATAAAGAAATATTACCAAACTTGGTGCCTGCTGCAGCTGCCACTGTTCAAACGAGTAGCCCTTTGCTTTCTATTGAATTGATCAAGTCAGTCCAGGCTGCAGGATCCACCCTAGAAGAAATTAATATAATAAACACCTTCCAGGCCCAAGTACAACATTTCTTCACCCAAAGCATCTCATGTTCTGGAATATCTGTTATTTATCATCCATTATCATTTATAGAAAGTCAAACCACTTAGTTAATATTATAAGAAGAATAACACAAGATACCATTGCCTTTTTTTTTGTTCTTGTCATAGCAAAAATACTTGTGGGAGGCCAATGGTTACAGATTTTTGGCATTCTGCAACATGAGGAGTCTTTTTTTCCCCATGCTAAAAACATGTCTCCAGCACACTTTCCCCAAAGAGAAGCCCATTTTTCTTATCATACAGTTGCTACTTACTGTGAGATATTCCTGCTTATGAGTACTTCCAGGGACACAGCCACATGTTTGCTCTTCATGGTGCACTTACTTCAGTGTGCATACACCTTGGGCTTCCCTTTGAGGGTTCAGAGCTCTGCAGACTTCTCTAGAAATGCTCTGTTATACCTACCCTCCCTCCTAGCATTTCCACTACCACACCACATATCCAAGCCATTAGTCCTCCTAAGAAATGACTAACCTCATGCACATGTACTCTGAGGTAGATGTGCTGAAGAATTTGGCTTACTTGACTTTAGCTCTCAAGATACACTTTTATTCCCAATGATTAGGAAATGGATCTTTAACCATTAATACAAATTCAAGAGAAAAATCTGAAATGGTTAACTGTTTTGGGTTAGGTTGGTTGTTTTGGTTTTTTCCTTTCTGAGTTCACAGAATGAACATTGTAAGGATACGTTATGACTTTGAGAAGGTTTCTGTTTATGGCATAGTTCTTTGAAATGCTTAATACTCTGAACTCCCTCTGTCACCTTTGTGAGTTGATGGCATTCTAGGTATGGCAACTAGCATGTCTTGATTAGCGGAGCTCAGAGAATTACTGATAATTTACCGTTCCACAGACAGAACCAGGCCTTGTAAGGCTTGCTTGTATGTTCCATGGTTTAGGCTACTTTTTGAACTACTAGAAGAGCACAAAAAATTGAAATATTTAGTGTTTATGTGTATAACTAGGTCTAGTCAACATTGCAGCTGCAAACTGGTTTTCCTATGCACAGCAGGGTAAAAGCTGAGAAGGAGGAGTTGAGCAGTGCAAGCCTGGGTTTTGGGTCAAGGCACAAGATTTAGTTAATTTCAGGGTAGTGTAAAAGGGAGAGGGGTTTGTTGCATGAAAACTGAATGTATGGCCTAACAATATACTCTTAGAGCAAACAGACTTTGGTAAGAATGAAAAATGACAGTGGGAAAAGCAGAGCCTAAGTGGTTGTTGTATCTGTCAAGAGGATTTGAAATTAAGCTGGTCCAATTTTTGTAGATGGCACAGGTGGTATCTACGTTTTATTCCTATTGCAAATATAGAGCAAAATGTGGAAATGTAAAGGTCCTGCTTTTCTTGACACTCATTTTATTATAGTGCAAATATATATGTGTGTATGTACATATAGACACATATGTAAGATGAAAACATAGCAAAATTATAGTTTTCAAGTGTATGGAGTTATGGAGCTATGTACTGAATGATTAAAGGAGATGTTTCAGACTTTTCTGTAATGACAATAATCATAACTAAAATATTTTGAGAATTCCTAGAAATTACTATTCCTAACTGATTGTTTTTAATGTTTGTGGTAAAGCACATCTAGTTAGAAGAGGTATCATCTCCAGTTCTGGTGTACTGCAAGGTTTGACTCATCTATGAACTCATAAATTTTAAGTATCCAACAACAATCATGTCAAAAAGCAAGAAAAATTAAAACCTATATGGTTTCAGAGTACTTCATAACTTTGGGAAAAGATGTGTTTGTAGTGTTAGGGGTTTATATGTTTTAGTATTTGTTCAATTTGTCTGAATATAGTGTCTCTAATAAAGGGCTGACTAATACAGGAAGTAGGTTTTGCAAATGTGTGATATATATGTATTACCTCGGCACAACATGTTCTACAGTGTTACCTGTTGTCTTTTCGTTTTGATTTTCAGATGATTATTTTAGATCCAGCACCAAGTATATCATACTCTGTTTTAAAGCAGAGCCTAATCTCGGCAAGATTACAGTGGTATCAGTTATACATCACAAAACAAATAATACACTTGTTATTATACTTCTCTACTTTTAAGACTGCCAGCCCATTAAATTTATGCTGTTATTTTAGACTGTGCTGCAATACTAACCCACTCAAAAATGTGAGCATGCAAAAGCATATTGATTGTATAGCTATTCTGCCGCTCAGCTGGAGCATGTTATTACAGCTTTGGTGTCATAAAATACCTGTATGATTTACAATATGGCCATTGAGAATTGCTGGGAGGTAAATCTCAATTATTTGTAGAGAAGATATTTGCTGTGTGACTGAGACTTGAAGAACTTCAGATATTACTCTTTCCTTATTTTTATTCTCTACCATCGCTAAGACTTAGAACTGAAAACTCTTGTGTCCTCTGCAGTGGAATAACTCTGCTGAAGTCAATGTAAATGGGGCTAAAATCAAGTCTTGCATACCTGCCCGCCTGCTTTTCCTTCTTTTTTCTCTGACTGTTTTTCCCTCCTTGGAAAGTAATGGCTCCTGTGGTCATAAAATACTGCCTGCACACCAAAGCAATTCCCTTTCAGTGGGATTTATTCCTGCTATGCCCAGACATATGACCCAGCTGGGTACAAAGTGTTACAAATTCATTACCACAGGACTAATTTAGTCCAGATGAGATTTTTTTTTTTTTGTTTTTAATTCTTGCTTATCCTATGGATGCAGACTGCATCCTCATCAGCTGCTCATTCATAGTATGATCTGGTATCCCCTGAGGGCCAAGGCAGGATGATGAAGTAGCAGCTGCTGGACACAACACGGAAGGATGTATTAAATTGGACCATCCTCTGAGTGGGACTCAGCATGGGATGAAGTTCTGCAAGCATAGCCTGAGCCCAGAGCCTAAAGGGCAATTAACAGAGAGTGGGTTACATGGAAAGCAGAGCCAGTGTGTTCATAAATAGGATGTGGGGCTGGGGTTGGGCTGTGGCCAAGAAACTGTGCAAAGCAGAGAGGGGTCAGAGAGGGGCTGTGTTTTAAATAAGGAGTTTGCTGTAGAACTGCTGCAAACAGTTAAATGTTTTTCATACTGACCTTTCTGGGGTTTAAAATTCATTTGGTAGTTAAAAGCAATTCACTACTGTTACTACAATTGAGTAATGTTACTTTCCAAATGGCAAAGTATTGAACTTCCATCTAATTTAAAGAGATCCTTACATTTGGGTATGGTCTCTCTGTATATGTTAACTATTTAAAGATAGAGGATTGACCAAAATAAGGGCTGATGTTTTTGATTCAGCTGCATTGTAAGCTTTGTCCTACTATACGAATTATATGCCTGCAAAACAGTGTACGCTAGTATCAAACACTTAAAATATTCTGACTTCTGTCCTGATAACACTACTGGAAAACCTCAGGGTTGCCAGCATTTTATACTTGTCCAAGAACAAACAGTCTTCTGAATGGACTTTTTTACCTGAACATACAGAGAAATCCAGCAGCACACAGCCAAATAGGCAAACACAGTACAGGAAAACACAGCTTTCCAGCTAAATGGCTACACTTCACTTTAGCCAGAGGAAGAGGAACTGAAGAGGTTCACAGCAGGGTGGATGATGTTTTTGAGGGAGTTCCTTGTTATTGAGGTACAGGGCTATTGTTTTTCCTAATTCTAACCAGTTCCAGGTGTAGATCCAACTCACTATTCCCCTTACTTTTCTGTCCCCTCTGCTGGGATGAGGCTACATGGAAAGGTGGGTAAACAGTATTTTGAAATGAAGCAATCTTTTCTACTACACTGAGTTTTCAGCCCACTCCAGCACAAGACTAGTACTGAAAAGATGGCAAATTGCAGCAAGGATGTGAGAGTGAACAGGGAGCAGAGTGGAAATGGCAGCAGGTTATTAGAATAGTTCTGATGTCAAAGCAAGGAAAACATGTGGCCACATCCTGCGTTGCCTTGGCTGATTCAACACTAGTGAGGCTGTCCCAAGCCTGAGAGCCACCATGACTCAACACCCACCTGTGCATTACCTCTGGGACAGTTCACTTCAGCTGTGCATCTTGATTTCTTGTACAAGAGTTCTACATCATTATTTCATCTTCCTGCAAGGACGATGGGTGGAGTGAAAGGTGCACAGTGTTCTACTCTAAAACAGGCTCATTTTGACTATCCTAAGGTTTTCTCAGGGGTTGCGGGTTTTTTCTGTATTTCTTCATATTTCTACAAAGCAAGACAGTACACTTTATTTTAAATAGAGGAGTGCTTTCAAGGATTTAAAAAAAAAACAGAAAAGAAAAACACAGGGAAGAAGAAGAACGGAGAATTTTGAAATAATTTTAAGATATTCAAAGTGATAGAAAGAGACTGTTCTGAGAGTCTATTTTTACTTTCATACTAGAAGATTAGATGTTATCCTTTGAGTGACATCAGTAAATATTTAGTGCTGGAGATTCCTGAGGGAGTTGATAAGTCTGCCAGACCTTAGGCACAAACCCTGTACTCCACTGCTTTTCTGTAAAGCACCATTCTGCCTCTTGCATCAGCTACCCTTGTCAAAAGATGAACCGTCACAGTTTATAAAGAGTTCTGGCACAAAGAATAAATCCCCAGTCTGGGGATGGTAAATCATCTTTTTAGAGACGTGTGTGTCAGTGGCAAAGCTTTCAGTGCTAGACCTTAAACAAAGAGAAGTCATCTTGCAGTCTGAATTGTTAGCATAAATTTAATTTTAAATCAAGTTTCATTGTGCTGGGCAACACTACAACTAAAAACCCTTTTATTGTTTTTCTGCCTTTTACTTGTGTTACACAAATGTGGTTTGCATTTTAAAATGTATTAAATCATAGAAATCAGAGATGGGTAGAAAAAAAGCCTAATAAGTAATTTTATCCATTTCCTCTGCCCCTGTAGAGATGAATGCTTTGTCTAGTCTGGTTTAAAATATCTCAAGTGATGAGGCCTTCACCTCTTCCTACAAGGGACTTTTCAGCCGTTTAATAGGCTTTTTTGTTAGGAAATATTTGCTTCATAC